CCCCATGGTATGATCTCTTAAGGCTTGAGGAAGGATATTTGGTGTGTATTGTAGCAATGTCAAAGAGCTCCAGGTCTGTGAACTTACTCAGATTTAAAAATTGAGTGGCTTGTTTATTAGGGTGACCCAAATTAGATTTCTGCTTACCTGAGAATTTCCAGTTTCGTAGATCAAACCATATTTTAGTAGGTTGACCATCTAGGTCTTTCCGAGAGGTACCACCAAAGACTCTTAGAAGTCAAAGCATTTCTTCTGTCACTATGGCCCTACATCCTGCAGGATGTCTCCAGTATAAAACACTAGCACATGGTCTCTGAAATCATGAAGCCCATTTAAATGATAGCACTTCTCATTATTACCTCAGCAAGCAGAGGACACCCACTGCAAAGTTTTTAAAGTAAACTGGGCTCTCCTTGGCACTTTAATGTTCTCTGGGTCCCTCTTGGGGGACACAATCAATGAAAAAATTTCTTACCATTTTAGTGTAGAGGCCCACATAGGACGCACAACGATAATAACTGCATAAGCATGCTTCCATCAGAGTTAGGTGTCTAACTTTAGAGAATATTCTACAATATTCTACATGACTCATTCTTCCCTCCTACCAACTGGTGAACAAGTATACTGGTAAATGTTTAATAAGAGCCCTCATGCAAAAACAAAGCAAAACAAAACAAAGCCTGGGTTTGTAGTGTTTGTTGGTATCTGCAGTGTAAATATTCTCACCATGGCCAATGTCAAACTATCAACAAGATGCCACTTAACATGGAGTTGGAAAGAAGATATACAAACACATCATGAGATAGTGCTTCTACCACACAGACACAATAGACAGAAATAATTTCAAGAGCACACATACCAGGAAAATAGAAAGTGGTGAACTCTAAGTATTACCTTACCTGTAAGTTTATATAACTTAATTTTTAATAATGTCTGTAACAACTAGCTCACAAAACTGACAATTTGACAAACTATTCTCACATACTACTGAGCCAGGTCTAACACCACTGTCGCTGCTCTTAGTGTAGAATCTGCCCTTACCTCCAGCTCCCCCTCATCTCTGCATGGGCATAGTAACAGCTGAGCAATGGTGGGCAATCTTTCCTTGAGTTACTTGGCCACAGCCACCAACAATCAATGTCTCAAAAGCAACTGTAAATAGGACCACTCTGTATTGCGCTCAGTGAGGTCTTGCCTATTTATAGATATAGAAATACTTGGAAAAGAAAAATAGAAAATCAGTGAACACTGCTTTGGGCTGGAGTGTGCCTCAAGTGGTAGAGCACTTGCTCAGCAAGGCAAGGCCCTGAGAGCAAAACCCAGTATCATCAAAAAAAAAAAAAAAGAACTACCTGGAACAGCACTTCAGAGAGATCTAAAGCAATCAAACAGCTGTTGGTGTTTGGCTTTATTCCTCATATGAAAGGATAAGAAGCCCAGGAAAGAGGCTGGTTGAATAACAACCATTTGCTTGACATATGCTAGTTTCTCTTCCTAGATCAGGTCAGGGAATTATAGGAATTTCCAAAAAGCAAGGAAAGTTCCAAGTATTCAAATGCAAGTCTGGGCTCTTATCTTCCAACTTGGGACTGTACCAGGGCCAAAGGATGTGCACTGCTAAATGCAATAAGGACCAAGATCCACTTAAAACCATCGTCTTAGAAAAGTTCTGGAGATGGGTGGTAGTGAGAGTTGCACAACAATGTGAATCTACTTAATACCATAGAACTTTAAAATGATTAGGATGGTAAATTTTTAAAAAATTTTTTTAATCATCTCAGCTAAACCAAACACTAGCTGACAGAGGTTTTGATTTCTTTGGCCATAAAGAACTCTTAGTGGCTGAGATCTAACTCATTCTTCTCATGAACCACACAGTAAGCCACTGTATGGATGGATCATAGTTCAGGTGAACAGTGAAATAGATATACTTGTTTCTAGTTTCTTGCTCTTGCTACTCTTGGTTTCATTTTTGCATCACGCTTTTGAGAAACAGATTAATATACCACCTTTGTCTTGTATTCCCCTGCTTTGCTACAGAATGGATCTACTTATCATCTACCAAAAATTTATCCTGTCACATTTTTCCAGCTGCCAGTTTAAAAATAAATACCCTGGATCTAAAGCCAAATTTATCTAACAGGTGCCATCATCCAAGTGAAAGTTCCACTGTTACAGGCATTTGAGAGACACCAGCAGCCAGCTTTGACTCTCATATATAGTCAAAGCACGTAGGGTTAATGACATCCAGTCTCTTTAGGTAGGAGAACAAAGACAAAGTCTCCCCCTTTCTAGGGCATGAAACTGTTCTGCATGATACGATGGTGGATACATATACATATTGTAATGTACAACACCTAGAGTGAACCCTGTGATAAGTTATGGATGGGTGACAATGATGTGTCAATGTAGATGTTGAAAATGGGAGAAGAGAGAATATATGGGAATCTCTGTACCTACCACTCAATTTTGCTGGGAACCTAAAACTGCTCTAAAAAATAAATTTACAAAAAACAAATGTTTCCCTCTTTTACCCACTTCTAGTTTTTTTTTTTTTTTTTTTTTTTTAAACAAATCTCTTTGTTCATTAAACAGGCACCTAGAGAATCCCTTTTTTTGCAGTACTGGGGCTTGAATTCAGGGCTTGCACTTCAAGTCACTCCACCAACCCTATTTTTGTGAAAGCTTTTTTCAAGATAGGGTCTCCTGAACTATTTGCCCCGGCTGGCTTCAAACTTCGATCCTCCTGATCTCTGCCTCCTAAGTAGCTAGGATTATAGGTGTGAGCCACCAGCGCCTAGCTAGAGACTCCTTTTAAGTAAAACCGTTAATGAACCAAGTTCACATTTAGTTTGGTTGTTTTCTGCCAACCAGTTGTCCCTGCCTGGTCCACAGTTGGCCAAGGATCCCAGCTCCTGCTTCTAGCATCACCCAGCATCAGAAGTACTGAGGGAATATGACAGTTGGGACACTGACGTCTTCACACTGGTATGAATGTCCAGGCTGCCTTGCGAAGCCAGCCTTAGAATCAAATTCACTGGCCTCTCCTGAGCTGGGGGGCAGTTCATCTAATGAATACCAGGCAATGAGGAAGATGAATCCAACAACTTCTCCACACAACAGAAATGTCCATAACCATGTCACAAGCACTGCTTCTACCCTACCTTCTGGATTTTGGAGCTTGTCTCTGTCTACATGTTTCTACTTATCTGAAATAACCACAAATCATTTATTACTATACAAATAATATATTAAATAAACAAAATGGGGTTTATGCCATATATTCCAACAATGTTAAATAAAGAGCTTGAAGTATATAAAGGCTTATGAAAAATGTACTCTCTTTATATAACAGCACTCGAATAAATATGGAGAAAGGGAGCCATTTTTGTATTATGGATAAGCAACATTTTGCATCAATGATTACACAAACCTGTAAGTGAACAAACAGAAACACAACTTTGTCATAAAAACTAGAAATCCTTTTGCCATATAAGAACAATATCCAAGGAGGGAAGAACTACAGCCATACCCCTGAAAACAAGGGACCAAGTTGTTCAATTCCTTAAGTTGTTCTTGGTTAAAAATTTTAACAATTCCATTAACTCGCTCAGGAAACAGAAAAAGATGGTTTAGAAAAAAAACAGATTAAGATCCTGATCTATAAGGCACTTATTACATCTATATCATATTTCTATCAAATGCTCTGAAGTTTTACAGTAAAGTTTTAATTTCCTTTTAAGCTGGTATTGACATGTACGTAATTTGAAAAAAAATAATAAAAGAATATTGTCTAACATTCACTTTTTATATGCTTCTTCAAAATGAATTGTTTCTATTTCAGAAATTATATGCATTATTTAAAAAATAATGCCTTCTGCATTTTAAAAAAGTGGTTCAAAATAAAAAAAAAAAAAGCAATCTTTTGACTCAAAGAACTCAAAAGTGAAAGCCTCTACAGAAAGTCTATGACTTCAATGGAATGTTCTGGTAAGAAAAAAAAAATCTCTAACCTGTGGTTCAGCCTCAGGTGCATGGCCAGCCTGAGCTCAGTCCTTTATTGCCATCTAGTGCCCGCCAGGGAGATGTGCACTTGTATTTTAGTCTAAGCAATTAACAACTATGAGCCACCAATGACCTCTCTCTGTTCGTCTTTGGAAATATTTTTCAAAGAAAACATTAATAAGGAAAACAAGGTATAAATGGCTAGGAATAAAGTTGTCTGACCCTCAAGGAAAACCTGCATTCCTTCTGTTCTGTCTCAAGCACGTAGGAGCCCTAGTGGCTGGAAGAACTGGGAATTTGCCCATACATAATGCAGAAGTGGCCTGTCCTGGCACCCAGTTAGTATTTAGTATGGGTGTCAAAATGTACACCTGGGTCTGGGGATGTAGCTCAGGATGCTTGCCTCACACATGTGAAGCCTTGTGTTTGTCCCAAGCACTGCAAGTAATCAAAAAGTAGAGGTAAGGGGACCCACGTAAATATATTCCCACCTCCTAGAAAAGGAAAGGTCTTGGGGTTCTTAAGAGTTTTTATCCTGAAAAAAGAGGAAGGAGAATGATTTATAGCATCATTAGGAGAAACAACATATACCTTTTATCAGAAACTAGATAAAGAGATGTATTAAAAAAAATTACTTGGGGGTAAGGGGTGTAGCTCAGTGGTAGAGACCTTGCCTAGCATGCCTGAGGCCCTGATTTCAATCCTCAGCACTGCAAATAAAAAAAAAAAAAAAAAAAGGAAAGAAAGAAGTCGTTTTTAAAATTTCAAACAAGTGTTCCCCACCCAATCTAATTGGGAAATCCAGACAGGAAATATTTTAACAAATATGGCATAAACTAGTTAAAGATAAAAATCTAAGGGAAAAAAATCCAAACTCTTTGATTCACTAGTAACATTTTGCTAAATAAAATGTATTAAAACCTTCATTAAGTCAGTGTTCTGTGGTTTTTTTTTTTTTTTTTTTTCAGTACTGGGGTTTGAACTAAGATCTTCATATTTGCTACCATGTGAGCCATACTTCTAGCTCCCAGTGTTCTTTCTTTACCAAGGTCTTTAACAAAAGGCTTCAGTCATGATTACGGGAAAAGCCCGTGATAACAGACTTCCTTCTACATATACAGGCTGCTTACTGAAGGATCACAGCTGCAAACATGATGTAAGTGTGTCATATAGTAACACTATTATTTCTTCATTTGATCCCTACATCAATAGATGTCACTTTACAGACTGGGAAACAATAATCGTTGCTGCAAAATCATACAGCAAATTACTAATGTTACCGAAGATAGAAGACAAGTGGCTTGAAATCACCTTCTACCAACATATACCTTATATACCTTAATAACCTTTGAAGCCAACACATCACACCATAAATGCAGGTATTAATATACTGTAACAATTCCTCACAAAGGTCAAGTCTTCAAAGGCTTAAATCACTTATTATAAGTGAAAGTTCCTGCCAAAATAGGAAGTTATAAAGCAGTACAATTCCCCAAGAATCTATTTTTTGCACTGGTTACAGCTGGGGTTCAAAAGTCTGGGTCTCCACATGTGAAAGGTCTTCAGCTGACAAGAAGCAAAAGCTCCCAGCAATTCAAGCACAGTAACACCCTTTTAGAGGCTCCATCGATGGTTTTCATGAGTTTTTCCAGCTGTAAGCTGAGAAGCATCTGGAGTTACTGTCCCTGAAGAAAACAGCATTTTTATATATTATCTCAGATGTTGAAGGGCATTTCAGTGGTAAGGACTTGTGCCTGGGTGTCACAGGTCATTAACACTGATGAAGCATTTGATGCCAACACACACAGTGATCTGAACTAACCCTGTCTTCATCTGTGGCTCTCGTCCCAGAACCTGTGAAGAGCCGAACAGTGCAAAGCAGAAAGAAACACAGGAAGCTCTACTGTGCAGAAGTTTGCACTTTCAGAGGGATGTCTCATGAGGCCTTGTCACAAGTCCAGTTTCTTCAGCTGCTCATATGTCACAAAGAACTGTAGTTATGGGTTAAGGCTAACAAATCTTCAATTCAGAAAATGTCATCTTCTCAGCTCTAATATATAAAAACAGACTAACAACTAGCACATCTGCTAACAAATACACAGGCAGAGCTACAGCATATACACAGTTAAACATGAGGAACTCCATCCTAAACCACCTCCCCAACAGAGAGACATCACAGCTGAGATTATAAAGTCCCTAGCCTCAGCCTCCTCTGCGATGACGTCCATAGTGAGTGTGTGAGTGTGTGTGTGTGTGTGTGTGTGTGTGTGTCTGTCTGTCTGTCTGTCTGTCTGTCTCTTCTCTGGGATGATATCCGAGAGAGAGAGAGAGAGAGAGAGTGTGTGTGTGTGTGTCTCTTCTCTGGGATGATGTCCAGAGAGAGAGAGAGAGAGAGAGAGTGTGAGTGTGAGAGAGAGAGAGAGAGAGTGTGTGTGTGTGTGTGTGTGTGTGTGTGTGTAACAAAGAGAGAAAAGCCTGGAAAATCTTCCTTCAGGGCTTCCACTAGGCAGCCTTCCTTGGGAGGGTGGAGCAGATGAAGAGAAATAAGAGGATGGTGAACCCCAACATTTCTCCTTAGTTCTGTCCTTTCATATCTACTGAACTCTCACTCCATTCCTGCCTCCTGCTTTTTGTGAAGGAAAAATACAGACCAGGCAGACACTTGAAGAGTTAATTCCTATTACTGTTTGCAGTCTACAGGAAGTATGTTTGGACCAGCTGCCAACCACATCCTTCCCCCATTCCTGCCTCCTGCTTTTTGTGAAGGAAAAATACAGACCAGGCAGACACTTGAAGAGTTAATTCCTATTACTGTTTGCAGTCTACAGGAAGTATGTTTGGACCAGCTGCCAACCACATCCTTCCCCAGAACAGTGAGAAATATACAATCAATTCCCATTTCTCTCTGAAATCATAAATACCCTCAAACTTACCGAGCAGAATCCCACGAGATATTTTTATGAGTATCATTACCTTTCAGAGTTAATTCCTATTCTGTTTGCAGTCTACAGGAAGTATGTTTGGACCAGCTGCCAACCACATCCTTCCCCAGAACAGTGAGAAATATACAATCAATTCCCATTTCTCTCTGAAATCATAAATACCCTCAAACTTACCGAGCAGAATCCCACGAGATATTTTTATGAGTATCATTACCTTTCAATGATTACTGAGGGGTAATTATTTTTGAATGATTACCATCATTAAACAAAGATCCATGGTGTATAGCACAGAGATTTTGTATTTCCTAAAACAGAAACTAAGTAGTTATTTCTTAAAATCAAAGGAACTCAAAAGGATAAGAACTTACTTCTAAATTATAATTAATAATTTGATATTTTATACAAACAGTACTCCTTGGCTACATCTTTTTTTCCAGATCTACTATAACAGAAAAGGATACAATGATATTCCAAGGACCAAGCCTCAACCAATTTGGCCAAAACCCTTTATATAGAGCAAAAAACCCTTCATTCTTCCATGTCTATTTTAAAGAAAAAAAAGAGTTAACTTCAAACTTTCTAATTATATCAAATGTATGAGTAGTGGTCAGACTGATCTATTTTTCTCATAAATTAAATCCTGGAGCTAGGAGTGTAGCTCAGTGGTAGACTGCTTACTTGCAAAGCATGCATAAGGTCCTGGGCTCCATCTCCAACTCCGTAAGAAATTAAATTAAAATCCTGCTTGGAAGGACTGTTTAGAAATCTCTGCCTTCTGTCTTTGTTCTTTCAAGGCTTTTGCACAGGTGGAAGACTAAAGCTCCCTGCCAAACAACCCCACGTATAAAGGGTAGTCACAAAACAGACAAACAGTAGTTGAATGAATAAGAAATTAGATTTAATTCCAACTAGGGTCATTTGTTTCCATGCCATTCTGGCTACTAAACAGGTCAAGAAATAAAGAAGTAATGATGGAAAGATATAGCTCAGAGGACTGGGGGCATGGCTCAAGTGGTAGAGCACTTGTCTGTCTAGCAAGTGCAAGGTCCCGCGCACAAGCACAGTAACCCCCGCTCCCCAAAAAAGGATATTATTCAAGCTACTTCTAATTCCTGAGTTGCTAGGCAGATAAAAGTGACAATATATTAGCTTCATTAAAGCAATATTTGAAGAGTAAGATGTGCTAGTATTATGCCAGAGAACAGGAACAAGTGGTCCCTAGTCCTCGGCTGCTGGCAGTCAAGCAGGGAAGACAGTCAAAAACTTTCATCCATTCATTAACAGTAGACCAATTATCTGAGCTAAGAACTACAGCAAGACTCCGAGATATGGGATACTTATCTGGTCTGACTCAATAGGAAGATGATGTATTTTAGAAGGATACATATTTCTGTGATCACAGAAAATATTACTATTTTATTATCCTCCACAGTAGAGTGAAATTAAACACAAAATAAACTTTCACTTCTAAACATTCACCTAAATTTTATATCTATAAAAGTTCACCTTGGACAGGTGTGGTGGTACATGCCTGAAATCCAAGCACTTGGGAGGATGAGGCAGGAGAAATGGCAAGTTTAAAACCAGCTACATAGTGAGATCCTGACTCAAAAACAAAACAAACAAAAGTTAACCCTACTGTGGCGAAAAGTGTGCCATATGTACATCTAAGGGTTTTAGGGCATCATTCATCTTTAATAGCTGTCATAATTTACTTAAATATAAATATATATGTATGTGTGTGTGCACATTATGTGTGTGTGTAAAATTCCCAACCTTGAGCAGATACTCATCTCACCTGTAACAAGCAATCCAGGGTACCTGTGTAGCCAGAGCACCCGCCATCTCGAAGGACTCTCTGATTCATCATACGGGTTCTCACAACATCAACAGGGTTTGAGGCTAGGGCCCCCACCAGACCACAGGTGAAGCTTGAGCTACGAAGAAGGTAATAGTGGAAAAAGGCATTAAGATAACCAGCACTCGACTACAACTACTATCAAGGGCAGAAACAGCCTCCTCCCAGAACTATGCTAAAGCAACACAGGGAGCAACATGAAATGTACCAAGAACAAGGTCAGTATCTGGGGAGCTAGACAAACTTCCTTAACATCGACACTGATTATATTGGCTTACAAATTCCAGCCACAGCAAGGACACCTTTGGGGTTCCAGAAGTCAAAGAGTAAAAGAAACACGAAGAATGAGTCCAACATGATGTATTCCATCTAGTCACCTTAAGTAGGATCACAGTAACTGTGGCCCTATCATGTTCATATTGCTCAAACAAAAAGATCTCCTCACTGTAATGCCCCCAGAGGCCGCAGATTCTACTAGACTTCCAGTCTTACAAATAGGACATATTACAAATTGTTAAACTGAATTACATTAGGCTGAAAGTGCCTCCATTTATAATTAAATATAGCCTAAAGTAATGTGTAAACAACCTGCAACCTACCATGAAAATATGCTCTGTAACAAGCAGCCAAGTCTCAGCCAAACATTCAGCTGAAAGTTGCAAAAACATCCAGGTAAGGCAAATGCAGAATTTCAGTCAAAAAGACTATTTCTGTTCAGATGCTCCCGACCTTAGGATGGGATTGTGCCCAGTAAATCTATCCTAAGTTGAAAATACCGTTAACGGAAATGTGTTTAATGCATCTGACTTACCGAACATCATAGTTCAGGCTAGCCTACCTTAAATGTGCTCAGGACCGTTACATTAACTGTCACTTAGGCAAAACCATCTAACACAAAGGCTATTTTATACTAAAAGGTTGACTATCTGTAGTTTCTTAAATAGCATTGAAAGTAAAAACAGGGCTAGTGGATTAGCTCAAGTGATAAGAACACCTGAGGTCCTGAGTTCAAACCCTAGTACAGCCAAAAAAAAACAAGTAAAAAACAGAATGGTTGTGTGGGTGTACTTACCTTATAAGCCCTTTCTATTTTTCTGGCTATAAATATTGCCTGCACACACTGTGGGATGGAGTTCTCTGAACCACTTTTCATCACGAGTGCTGCCCTGTTCATGAACCTTTTCTCTGCTCAATTGAACTGTGTTAAATTTAACTTGTCCAAGACTTTTAACAGAATCCACTAACTCAGACAGTGTTCTTCACTCTCAGCATTCCTCACATGTTGGGCAAATTATTCTTTGTTGTGGAGGCTGTCCTGAACACACCAGAACATTTAGCTCCATGCAGAGCCTCTACCACTAGATACCAGATATACTCCTCCTATCACTAACAATCAGAACAGATCCCACAGTTTGGACAAAGTCGCCCCGTGAGAGCTTTCCCACAAACTCTTGTTCTCCTGACCTAACTGGGGGCAACTGGAGATGCAGAAAGGACAAAGGATAGAAGACAGAGCTGCAGAAAGTTGGGGCCAGGTGTGCTGGGTGCTCGGATGGAGACGCACAACAACCTCATTGCTTCTTTTCTCTTATTCTTTAAAATCTTACTTCTGAAGTCTTTCTTTAAAACCTTGCTTTTCTATTCTTAAAGTCTCTTTCCTTAGACTCACTCTGTCCCATGTTTTCTTTAACCTCTCTTAAAGTCTTGGCCCTCTGACTTGCATCGCCCCATGTTCCCTTTAATCGCTAGCATAACTCAGCCACAGCAGCAGCAGTGTCATTCTTGCAGCAGCCTCACAAGCAGGCCTCAGCCAGCCAATCAAAATCCTTGTAAAAAACAAGGAGGTGGAGCAACAGTTCTCCAGGAGGGGCATGACACTATAACAAGAGAAACCTGCATTCCTACTTCTCTAAACATAAACAACTTAAGAAAAGCAGCTGTGCTGCATTTTGCCTTCACTCTCTTCTGCAGCTGGGGCCATGCCAAACTCAGCCTGTAGATCATTAAGCACAACTGTGCTTATGTCAAGTTCTCATAGGCTTCTCATTATCTGCTCCCCAGTCGTCCACCCTGCTAATGACATGTTCATGCAATGTAGTAATCTGTAGTTATAAAAATAAATGAAGTTTGTAAGAGCTAATGCAGGAAGATATCAGAATATATCCTTAAATTTTAAAAAGCAAATAAGAATACAAAGTGTGATCGTATTTGTGCAATAAAGCACATGTAATATACTGTTATAACCACACTGTCAACAGCTACCTATGCATACTTTTACTTTCTCTTTCTATCCTGCAATTTTTCAAATATAAAATACAGTTACTTTCATAATAAACTATAAATTCATACTAAATTGCCTAAGTTTATGCATACCTAAAGTATTCAATTTTTTAAAAAATCCACACACATACAGGAAGTGAGTGTAGGCAGTGTCTCCCATCAGGCCTGAGAGCACCAGATGCTTCTTGGTGATGTCATAGACCGGCAGCTCCACGCCGACCACAACAGCAGCCCTCTGAGCGGTGAGGGACACACCCTGGCAAAACATCAGTAAAATGATTCAGATGGGGTCTCTGCTCCCACTTCCGCATGAGGGCAGGAAAGGTTTCCCTCTCTTTCTGCCCCCACCCGTCTATACTAAAATAAATCCCTGCTAAAATTAAAAAATTCAGATATTCCTCCATAGAACACAAATGTGCAAAGGCTCCTCTCCACAAACTACAACCAATTTCTTATGTGTTCTGATTAGTAGGTAGAAACAAAGAGTAGGAAAAACCAGAGCAAGAACTCAAAAGCGATGACTTTGACACCAACTGTATGACCTTGGGCCAGGCCTTGGCTAGGACAAATCACCATACAGAGCTTCTGGTTTCCTTGTCACATGAGGGATCATACTGGATGACATTTAGGGTCTATTCTATGAAGTCAGTAGGAAATTAGGAAATAGCATTCCACGCCAGCCTTGCCTAATAACACAGATCTCATTTAATAGCCATTAAGTCACACTGATAATCATCCAGTGGAAGTGGAACCTAGAGACATTTTCCGTAAGGATTTAAACAACAACAAAAATAAGTAAAGGTTCAAACAAACAGAAAGGTGCTCAACTTTAACAAAACCTCTTAGACTTGAAAATCATAACATATTCATTACATTCCCATTTTACAGATAGGAAAATAAAGGAAAAAGATCTTCAAAAACAGAAAATGCCACTCTTCTGCCCTTACTCCATTTTGCCACTTGGATAAAATAAAGTGACAGAAATATGACGTAAATTTTACACAGGAAAAAAGGGTAAGAACTAAGTTAGTTAGAGCTGTTCTTCAAGCTTACCTTCCATAATCCTCTTGTCCCTTCCTGCTGGTAAATGTTAATGAAGTTGCCTATCATTCCTCCTGGAACAGTGCTGTTTTGTGCTTGCATTCGTATCTGAAGATTAAAGACCAACGTGAGAAGGAAACTGGCACATTTCCCCACCACCACACCACATACCTCTGACAGGCATTCAGTCTATTGCTTAATAACCCTTAGAAGAAAAGTATAGCATACACACAACTGTGATGCTACTTTAAAATGTTCTCAGTAGACTAAAAGCCTCTAAGGATTAGTTCTTAGGAACCCTGGACTCTAAAGCTATATCCACCAGCCCTTTTTGTTTTGTGTGTGAAGGGTTTTTTCGAGATAGGGTCTCATGAACTATATGCCTGGCTGACTTTGAACTTTGATCCTTCTGATCTCTGCCTTCTGAGTAGCTAGGATTACAGGCATGAGCCACAGGTGCATGACTTATATATGCCGTGTGTGTGTGTGTGTGTGTGTGTGTGTGTGCGCGCGCATGCACACGCACGCATGTTACTGAGGGTTGAACTCAGGGCCTCATGCTTATTGGGAGGTGCTCTACCACTTGAGACACTCCATAGACCTTTTCGTATTGTTTATCTTTGAGATAGGGTCTCTCTCACTTTACACCTGGGCTACAATCCTATTTGTGCTTCCCGCAGCCGGAATGTGAAGCATGCATTACGACACCCAGCTATTGGTTGAGATGGTATCTCATGAACGTTTTGCGCAGGTTGGCTTAAGCCCCAATCCTCCCCTGCCCTTTATCTACAGCATTTTATTAAGTCTCAAAAAACTTTTTTTTTTTCTTTTTAAGACCTTTGGGAAAGACAGAAAACAGTTTATTTCCCTACAGGTTACTAAGTAGGAAGGACAGGAAGAGATGGTAATTCTAAAGATTTAACATAATTAATGAGCACTATCCAGTGTAGTTGGCTGCAGTGCACACAGGGAAGCAGAGTTCAATTATTACAAGCCACTACTATTTTCACTCACTGAAGCAAAAGGCACACAGGCAAGCTGGCCATGTGATGGTCACATGATACCGTTACACTTGACCTTACTAGGGAACCTCTCAAATGCCAGGGCAGCCACATGACCAAGATCCCATCAGAAATGTTTGAGGTAGCTCTTTCCCTTCTTAACAATAAAAAGGGATTTCTTACTAAAAATTGGTACCTTATATTTATTCAGGGAAAAATACAGGACCTCTTACTTCTAAAGAGAACTGTTGCTGCCACAGTAACATGGGGGAAAAAAACCCAAAATACAGGATCTGCCTTCCCATAAGCCCTGACATATGATAGGAGTTTGGTTATTTTTCTGTAGCTCTTTTACCCCAACTGAAGATGATAAACTTATAGCAAAGGTGCCCTATCTATAGGACATGTGTAACTGCAATGCACCCAACATGTCACATACAGCATCAATGCTCATCAGAACCCCTTATTACACCGAAGGCTGTCTAAGGGCAGGGCCCTCCTCCTACTCACTTGGGATGCTAAGGACGTCGTACAACGTAGAAGAACAAAACACTAAATAATGGGGGTGGAGGAGGGAATACCCCAAGGGATTCAGAAAGTAACTCACGTAGAACTTTTATTAGTTATTCCTTTGCTTTATTCAAAAAAAGACTTAAGGAGGCTGTGTACCTAATATTCTCAATAAGTTCATCTAATGTGTTACAGCTAATTACAGCAAGTAAGTATTTCACTTGTATTTCCTGAAACTAAAATAGTGGGTCAGAAAATGCCTTCAGAAATACTTATTAACAAGCAGCCTAGATTTGGGTAAAACTTGTAGCCTATCTTCCTTCTCCCCTTCCTACCCCTCACCCCAGTATGGGGGATTGAACCTAGGGCATCACGTTTGTTAGAAGTGTTCTACCATTTGAGCCACGCCCACAGTCCTTCTGCTTTGTATTGTTTTTCAGGTAACGGTATTGCTAACTTTACCAGAACTGGCCTTAAACCTGAGTTCCTCTTGTTTCTGCCTCCCAAGTAGCAGGAGCTCCTGGGCCACCATGCCTAGTAGCCCATCTACCTTTTTTTCTTGTGGTACTGGAAATTGAACTTGGCCTCACATTTGCTAGAGTTTGAACTTGGCCTGGAATTTGCTAGGCAGGTGCTCTTACCACTTGAGCCACCCCAGCAGCCCTTTTTTGTCTTGGTATTTTTGAGATAGGGTCTTGTGAACCATTTGCCCAGGCTGGCTTCAAACTTCAATTGTCCTGATTTCTGCCTTCCCAGTAGCTAGGATTACAGGTGTGAGCCACTAGCACCAGCTACTTTTAATGAAACAAAAAAATAAGGGAGATTTTCCATGAAAAAAGAAATCAAACACATCCACATCTAATTTTTTTTTCTGCACAGTCACCAAAATCCTTATCTCCAAAATGAGCTCTACTACTGAGCTCATCTGTACCTGTGGGAAATCTACTTAGTGAACACTTAAAAGTTAGACTCTACATGACACAATGTATAAACAGATTCCCATACACACAGCATATGTTATATTCACAGATTTTCATTATGTGAATGCTGTTTCCAGTAAGAAAATGTGAAATCTAGGATCGGGGGATGGTAGCTCATGCCTGTAATCCTGTGACTTAGGAGGTGGAAGAAGGAGGATCCAATCTCTGAGGCTAGCCTGGGCTACATAGAGAGACCCTGTCAAGAAAGGAGGGAGGGAATGAGGAAGGAAGGGAAGAAAGGAAGTAAGGAAGGGAGGGGAAGCAGGAAGGGAAAGGTGGAAAGAAGCACGGGAGGGAGGGAAGCAAGGAGGGAAGAAACAGGGTAAGAAAGATGTGGACTGTGCCTCTAAGATGTAGCTATCATGGCTTACTTTTAAAACATCAGTTGGATTAGCAATGGTAGAGGATATAACTCCAGAGAGAATTCCACACACAACATTGATCAGTAGGGTTTCATCTGTAAACAAAGACAAATTATTTGATTTACGATACAGAGTTCTTTCTGTAAGCAACTTCAATTGTTCCTTATTTACACACAACTTAATTCATCGTAAGATAAAGAAATTTGTGCTTTTATGAATCAAGTAATTTTAAAAGGAATCCTGCTAACTAAAAGAATTCTGCCTACCAAAATTTCTTGATATCTAAAAATAAATTTAAATTACCATGCAAAGTGAGTAACCATCTACCAATTCAATTGTGTGTGTATATTCAAATCATCATAATTAAGATGAGACATACCTGTCAGGAGAAGAGATATATCCCTCTGATTAACATGGAGATTTATTCAGCACAGAAAGTTTTTAAAGCACATCATGTGTATCTAGTACGACATATATCAAAGTACTTCCCAAAGCATCTTTTGAAGCTTTTTTTTTTTTGGCAGTACTGGGGTTTGAACTCAGGGCTTCACACTCGCTAGGCAGGTGCTCTATCACTTGAGGAAGCCTGCCAGCCCTTTTTTCAAGGCTTTTATATTTTATCCTTTTGATGGAATTAGGGCTTGAACTCAGGGTCTCATGCTTGATAGTCATGTGCTCTACCACTTGAGCCACTCTGCCAGGCCGCCAGCCCTTTTTAAAACTCTTGATCCCTACTCTCACATAAAAGAGAGCTCCCCATTCCATTGGGGGAGGAAAAAAAACAAAATTGTATGGTTAAAACAAAATCATAGAACCAAGCAGCCCGAGTATTATTACACAGAGTATTAGAACTCAGCACACTTAGCATGAGAAAGGGATTCAATGGCTTCCTGAAGAGCAGGTGATAGTTCCTATGATTTTATAAAATTTAAGTCAGATTAAATGATAACAACATACCCTCTAGCATAGTCACTTGGGACAGGAAGACAACTAACTAAAATGTTTGCAGCATGGCTCCTTGTGAGTGTCATCCCCACTCATTCAGCTGAGACCAGACTTGCTATAGGCACAAAGAGTTTAGACTTTGCACTAACTTCTCCCTGGCCTTCTCAGTGAAGTCACAGACCTATAACACAAGACCAACCACCCACCTGCTGTCCCCAAGTGGACAGGCGACTCCCACTCACCTTCTGCACGCTCCACGAACAATCGCTTCAAGCTCTGGTAAGTGCCAATCTTGATGGTACCATAGGAAGCCTGGCGTAGCATTGCAGGGGCAATCCTGTCAAATAAAAAAGCAGGGGAAAAAAACATCTAGAAGTCACTTGAATCCTCAAGACGACCCCATGCAGAGAGAGACACAATGTGGTAAAAGGAAAATTGTGCTACATCTTAGAGGCACATTCTACAGTTTCTTTTTCTTTCTTTTACAAATGTCATAGCATTCAATCATAATGTGGAAATTCAATGATTCAAGTGTCCTGTTTTGTCATAATCTTTTTCTTTCTTTTTTTGATACAGAGTCTCACTACGTAGCTCCAGTTGAATTCAAAGAGATGAGTCACCTTCCAAACTACACTTTTTAATTTTTTAGTTTCTACTTTTTGGCATGTGAACTCATGGCCTTGTACTTGATAGACAAGTGCTACCTGAGCCATACCTCCAGCCCTTTTTGCTTTAGTTATTTTTGGATAGCGTCTCTCTTTTTTTTTTTTTTTTTGCTGAGGCTAGCCTGGACTGTGATCCTCCTACTTATACCTCCTATGCAGCTAGGATTACAGAAGTGCACCACCACACCTGGCTTATTTATTGAGATGGGGGGAGGTCCTAACTTTTTGCCCAGGCTAGCCTCAATCTGCAATCCTTCTGATCTGCACTTCCCAAGGAGCTGGGATCACAGTCATGAGCCACTGAATTTGGCTGAAACTATACTTAAATGGATCTCTTTAACATTCAAAATCCAATAAAAATACAAGAGGGTTTGATAAAATTTGTGTCAGTTATCAGTTCATCATGTGGAAGCGTGGCCCCTCATACATAATTATCTTCAAATGAAGAGATAAGTGAACTGGAAGTTCATTCCCAATTTGCATTAAAATGCAAGGACTTTCCATTCTTGGTACAAAGCACCTGGGAAACAGAGCCAGGCATGCTGCAATAACCAACAACTCATCTAACCCCTGTGGCTCCTAACTGAGTAATTTCCTCTCCCTAGAAGCTTTCCCACAATATTGAAACAAGCTCAAGACAGAAGCAGGAAAACAAGCCAACTTTCCTCCATCTTGGATGCTCCTCCACTGTCCATTCCCTGCTCTCCTTCTGCACTTCTACTTCCTTCTTGAATTGCAATCTGGACTCTCCCCACTCCCTCAAAACCCCACTCCAGGTAAGCAATTGGCAACCTTGCAGCTAAGTTAAATGATGCTTTTCAAGCCCTATCTCCCATAACTTCTTGGTCATATTTGCTCCTAGTCACCCTCAGTCCTACAACAACACTCTCCTCCCTCACCTAATACAGCATCCCCCTCTCCCACTTCTCTCCTTTTCTCTACAGCATCCAACCTGTGTCCTGTGGGGTCCCCAGAATTCTACCCTACCTTCTTCCTTTACTACACACTCCTTGGGTGAACTCATCCACGCTCATGGCTTCAAGACCATGTAAATAAAGACAGATGACTCCTAAGTCCATGTTTCTAACAGTCATTCAAAAACACATTTCCAGGGCTGGCAGAGTGGCTCAAGTGATAAGAGCGTCTGCCTAGCAAGTGTGAGGACCTGACTTCAAACCCCAGTGTCGACAAAAATCAAAAATAAAAAAAGAAACACATTTCCAGCTGTTTCTCAGACCCTTAATTTAGACATCCTCCTTCCTACAAAATGTTCCACCCTGAACTAATTACCTTCCTCCTCCAAACAACCAGCTCAACTCTTGTGTTTCCTACACCAGGGAATGAACCTCCAGCTACACATTGGCCAAAACCAGAAACTAAGCCATTAGCCTTATTCCCCATTACTCCCCACCCTGTCTCATATTTGGGGGGCCTCAAAGATGAGGTGACATAATGCTCTTGATCCCACAGACTAGAGTTCCAGCTTGCTTTCTCTTTCTCTATTCCAAGACCAAACCCTCAGCTCAGCTCCTCCTCTCTACTTGTGACAGCCCTGCTCTAGGATTCCCATCCTTTAACCCTTCCTCCCCATGGCAGCCAAGTGACTTTTGCAATGGAAACCTGATCAGTCCTACTTAAAACCCTTCTGTGGCTTCTGTCTGCCATAGGTGTGTGAAACTCAAATGTTTTCAGGTAGCAGGCAGATACGTGAGTGAGTGGAGCAGGCTCAGTCCAACTGCACATGCACCATGCATCAGAGCGTCTATAAACCACAGAAAGCATCCTTAACTCCAGTGACTACTATCATAGAGAATGGAGGCAGGCCTGATGCTGACTTTTCTTGAGAAGATAGAATCACAGGTTATAAACACCAACCACAAAAAGGAGTCCTAGACATTTATGTGCAATTTTTCATTTTTAAATACTAGCTCAGCCAGGCACAATGACATATGCCCGTTATCCCAGCTACTTTGGGAGTCTGAGGCAGGGGAGTGCTTGAGCCCAGGAGTTCAAGGCCAATGTGGGGAACATAATGAGACCCTGTTTCAAAAATGAAATAAGGGCTAGGGGTGTGAGTCAAGTGGTAGAGCACCTGCCTAGCAAGCAAGAGGCCCTGAGTTCAAACTCCAGTACTGCAAAAAACTAAACTAACATATTAATTCAACTGAAAAACAAAATCCTGGGATTGTGGGTGCATGGAGCGGCTGTGGGCTCCCAGTTGGGACCTGGGTTTGGCATGGCATGAGACTGGCCCCATTTCTCTACTCACCAACCCCCACACCATATGCATGTTCAGTTGCTTGCAGTTCCTAGACTGTTCCATGCTCGCCTGCACAAACTCCTGGCTCTCGATAATATGACTTCCCTCTAACTTCACCTGGCCGACTCTTCTTGATCCTTCAAAGTCTGCAAAAGTGCCTCCTAAATTAAACAGCTCTCCCCACCCTTTCTTACTCCACAGGCTGGGACTGAGGCCTTCTCTCTACAGATTCCACTAATGACATCTGTAGCCCCCACTAATGATAGTTCATTAAGGAAAGTATGATGCTCTCTTGTCCTGTGAGGTCATGTTCACTGTGCCCCGAGAGGCTGTCACAGACCACATCACTCAGGCTCCTTCCAGCTGACTCCCCAAGGGTTCAGCCAGTGGGGGAGGAATGAAGGAGAAAAAAGCAGAGGATTTCTTCCCCTCCCTGAGAGCTACCAAGGTATCCTTTGACAACTGCTGTCCTCTCCCCCAAGGCTCCAGCCCTCGTGGGCTCTTGTACTACTACTCTTGCCCTTGATCCTAGGGCTAGTTACAAGTTCACTTGCAGCTTCCAGAGACTATCTAACCTTCATTTGTTCCCTTAACACTCCCTTCATTCAAGACCCTTCACTTAACTAGCCAAGTGAATCTGCTTCCTGCAGAGGGCAGGGCCTTGTCTGTCACGCTTCCAACCAGAACCTACAGAATGCTGTGGATTAAATACTGAATGGGTGAAAAAGCAGCTCAGTGCAATTCTTCCCATGCTACGTCATTTTCATTATGGCAAAATCTCAATAATTCAGAGTAATGAAGGAAAATACTATTCTTTCAAAGTAAAAAACTAGTGCTTTAAAAAAGTTTTGCTTTTTTGTCTGCATTTGAACATAATTTCACCAAAATATTTGCTACCTAACATATATATGTAGAACATAGCTGAGCTGGACAGCAGTGGCTCACACCTATAATCCTAGCTACTTGGGATGCTGAGATCAGGAGTCCTCAAGAACCCCGTCTCCAAAATAACCAAAGCAAAATGGACTAGAGATGTGGCTCAAGAGATAGAGCACCTGCTTTGCAAGTGTGAAGCCTTAAGTTCAAACCCTAGTCCCATCAAAAAAAAAAAAAAAAAACAAAAAAAAAACCAGCTGAAATTAAAAGTGGAAAAACCTACTATGCAAATTGCCCTTCCCAAATCCACCTCAAGTCTTTACTGTTTCTCTAAGAAGTCCTAGTCTCAAGTTTACAAATGTCAAAGAGTCAACAGTGACATAAAAACACACAAAGGCTTACTCACCCTGAATACAGGGCCTTCAGCCTTCTTCTCTGCCTATCCTCACCAAAGCATGCAGCATTCCTCGGTACCTAATTTCTCTAAAGTTGGCATCATTTGTCTGGCCTTGAATCTGGAGCCGTGTCTTGGTTAAATCAATTGGAAATGTGCCTTAAAATCATAAATAAAAGACAATTAAATTGTAAAAACCCATAAAGGAATACTACACTGAATAAAAAGACACTTCACTAAATACATATAGTGACATATTACTAAGGAAGCATTCAAACTATAACATGAAGTAAGAAACATTAAGAAATGGCAGGCACTGTGTAGCTTTTTTCTATTTAAAAAACTAACGCACTATGGCTGGGGGCATGGCTCAAGTGGTAGAGTACCTGATGAGCAAGTGTGAGGCCCTGAGTTCAAACCCTAGTACCACCAAAAAAAGTTAAGGAACCAAAAGACTAACAGAAACAAAAAATGCATAAGTGTATTTTTCTTTCTTTATATTTTTACTTATACATCATTTTATTCTACAAAAGATCCAAGGATCTTGCCACAGAAAATAAACAGAATTATTTATGCAAATAAGGAATTTATTTAAAACCTAAAGTTATCATCCTTTATGTATGTGAAGCCTAAAACTGGGCTCAACATGACTGAAAAGAGATTTCTAAAAAGTTTTTTTTTTTTTTTTAATGTCAGTAGTGGAACGATCCACCCTTTTCACTTAAAAAGGGCAAACAGAGAGCTACTATATTTCTCTAGGACATTTACAAAGAGTTGTCTTCACCTTGAGAAGAAACTGAATAAAAATAAATGTCCATATAAAATTCATTTTCTAAAAAGTTTCTCATTTAGGAAAGGATGTTTTATAGTCTAAAATTAAATCTGATAATGCAGGTAAACATGACTAATGTAGTACCTAACAGCTGACCCAAATATATACAGTCCATCCTCAGACAGTACCTTTGACTCACTGGATCAATGTTAACTCACTCATTGAATGAATCTTCATTCACTGAAAGCCCAGCAGCACAGAGCACCTAAGCTGGTGGGTGGATGGGTGCTTATTATGCCTTACAAGGCAACTGAGTCAATGAACTGTCCAGCCCAGTAAGAGGGCTCAGACGCTGCTCAGTCAGCACATGCTGAATGAATGATTCCCGAGAACAACACAGGGACACCGGGGTCAGATGTGGAGTTCCACTGATGAAGGAGTCAGTAATAGGACACAGCTGATGTACAAAATTAAGAAGTGACTGAAAAAGTATAATCAATCTAAAGTGGCTCAGGGAAGACCTTGGCGCTTCCCAAACTGCTGACAGCCACGGGGGTTAGCAATGACAAAGTGGGGGAAAAGACAAGGAAAACAGAGACAGATGCAATCCAAACAGGATTCATAAAACTTCTGTTTGGTCAACAGCTCAACTGTCTCCTCAATGAACTCTGAACCCTAAGCTGCTAATAAGTAGCCAACACGACTATTCTGTCTTTAAAACACCAAAAGAAGGCATTTTTGAATTCTGAGGTAAATGTTTCAAAAGCTCATATTCTGCACTAGAGTAACATGCACATCAAACATCAAATGGCAACCTTAGGTTTTAAACACAGACACACACAACAGGCAAGGAGACCTCAGGACCCTGGGCTACTTACCACATTCCGCCATGATGGAGGCCAGCCCTCCATAGACAAAGGGCTTCCAGTTGAGGGCTGACATTCTCACTGTGGCTTCTCCTTTGAATTATGCAAACATCACCTTCAACAGGGTTTTTCCTGGACACAAAAGGAAAATGACTCAAAGTTATAACTTCTCACACAGGTGGTTTCTTCGCTGAAGTCTTTGGGTTTTATTTGGAGAGTGCATTCAGGGGCTATTGCTGAAGCTCTCTACAACAATGTTCAAGCAATGAACATTGCTGAGACATAGCTCAGCAATGTCTACTCTCATTTCACCACTGGCCTGACTTTCATCCAGGCCTCAAAACAATCTGCCACCTTGATTCATGTGCATGCATTCAGTGTGGTGCAGGAGGCAGTTCTATTTTATCTTAGATCTGTAATTCTTTGTGTGATAAACATTTGCTATTTATTTGCCACTGCCTTAGCGAGCCCCTAAGGGGAGGCATCATATTGCTCAGGTACACCGGAGCAGGAAAAGGTAAACCTACATATGATAAAATGACAATTAATTACTTAAAATGGCCACAACCTACTTCTAGAGCACACTCTGTAAATGCCAGGTCACTTCTCCTAACCAGATTATGTTACTAGCTGGGAGGCAGCTTGGCACAAAGGAAAAAAAAAAGCAGACTCAGGTCAGAGCCACACGTGTCCTTCCTACAAAAGTGCCTGTATAACCCGAGGCTAGGTATTTTCTTCATCACTATCATCACCACAGCAGCTGATGCAACCAATTAAGATAGAACATACATTTTTACTAAGATAAATGAAATGCCTCACTTTAAGGCCTATTGTGGGGGTTAAGTATCATGTATGTTAAAGACACTCAGTAAACTTTGCTTCTAGCTTCACGTTCACATGTTCTGTAGTTCTTTGTGAAGTGATAAATCTGCCCATTATCAGGAAACACAAAAGAAACACCTTTGTATATATACTATCCATTGTAACTGTTGTCTGTTTAAAATAGTTTCTAATTTATTAGGGTCATTATTAACAAGTGTTTTTATTTTGTATGTGTTTAGGAATTTCCCAACTGTACAAGTCCCAGAAGTCCACCATGAATCATGGCTGCCTAAAGTGTCAGTTCTCAACAAAGCCAAGGAGCTAAGAGATAATGTAAGAGAACCCTCTGTAAATCTGGTAACAGTTATTCCTTACTTATGGCTAGTAACCAAATTAAGAGCAGTTGCAAACAAGTGGGGTAGAAGCCTCCCTAAGCATATATCAGAAAGGTCATGTTTTTATTTCAGAACCAAAGAGCAAGCCCTAACCCCCTCCCCCAAACTCCTCCCATCTATCTATTATTACCTTGCAGACATCTAATGTCTGCACTTAACTAATTCTTAGCCTACTGAATTCAGTTACTATAATGATTAACTGTATAGTGACTGACTGACTGTAAGAACACATTAATAATAAATCTAGTAATTCATTTACCATCCAATAGTAACTTCCTCAACCCTCTTTTGGGTTCTGCTGACTGCCAAGTTGAAAAGCAAAACAATGATTACCTAACAGTGCATGTGGCATTATAACCAACATGTTCTATATAAATGATGTCAGTGGATCCCCCATCAAGTTTGGGATAAGAAACAAATACTACCATTCTCAAAAACAGACTATAAAACTAGTCACTTTAAGGTGCCTTGCCCAAGGTCACACAGCTGATAGGGGCAGAACTGAGCCAGCACCACCTTGTTCTAACTCCAAGCATGGTGCTCTTTCTGCTACAACCTGGGGCTGTCCACTATCACAAAGGAGTGAGAACCCACAAGGAGGTTGTGATAAAGATACTCTATTAATTTTAATTAAGGAAGAAATACTGCTAAGCAGAATTGAAAAGGTAGTCTGATAGGATGCATCTTCTAAACAATAAAATGTGCTTAATTTAAGAGAAAAATCTTAAAATAGCAAAAGGTAGCTATTCTAAAAGGCAATAATATATAATGTTTTTCCAAAAACTGGTATACAGCAATGGTACACACTAGTGTTCACATGATTTTTTTTCTTTTTTGGTGGTACTGGGGTTTGAACTCAGGGTCTCATGCTTGCTAGACAGGAGCTCTACCACATGAGCCACTCTACTAGTTCTATTTTGGGTTGGGATTTTTTTCAAGAAAGGGTCTTGCAAACTACTTGCCTGACCTGACTTTGAAGCAATCCTCCTAATCTCTGACTCACAAGTAGCTAGGATTACAGGTGTGAGGTACTTAACCTGTGTGAGGAATCTTAATCTGGTGCAGAGCTTCTTAAAGGTACAGACAGACACCAGGGCCCCATCAATGAGGACAGTAGGGATGCCACCCACATGTCTGTTTGTTATTGAAATCAGTGAATTAAATAAACAATGGCCAATTTATACAGAGGATACTGAGATCATAAGTTCTTCTTTCAAATACTTAATTTCAATGATGACATTACAGTTGATTGTTCCTTTTATTCATCTAATTTATACTCATCTGTTTTGAGAGAGGGTCTCGCTATGTAGCTCAGGCTGGCCTAGAACTCATGGTTCTCCTGCCTTAGCCTTCCAAGTACTGAGATTGTAGGTGTAAACCTGGTTATTCAACTTACACATTAGTCCTTTTTTTTTTAAGCCAGGCACACCTGTAATGCTAGCTATTTGGGAGTGGACATCTCAGTTTGAACCAGCCTGGGCAAAAAGTTCTTAAAACCCCATTTGAACCAATAAAAGGTAGGCATGGTAGTATACTACTGTTATCCCAGCTACACAGAAAGCATAAATAAGGAGGATCGCAGCCCAGGCTGGCATAGGCATAAGCTTGCAGCACTATTCAAAAAATACCTAGAGAAAAAAAAAAAAAAAGTATCTAAAAGCAAAAAGGGCTGGGGACATTGCTCAAGAGGTAGAGCGCCTACCTAATGAGCAAAAGGGCATTGGTTCAAACCCCAGCACCACAATCCTCCTGATCAGCTAGGAGTACAGACTGAGCCACCGACTCTGGCAAAAATGATTGTTTTCCCTACAATCAATACATAGGTAACATCTGGGAGAACGAATGCGCATGCATACATATACACACACACACACACACACACACACACACACACACAGCCTCCCAAATATCAGCAAAAGTTTACAGGAAATGGGATTTTAACTGACCTTTAATTTTTTAAAAAACTTAACTCTATTGCGATACACCCTGATCATATCTCACTAATTAACATTCTAGTTTTCTGTCACTAGTTTAGTCTGCTTTTTCGTCTTTAAGTTTTGATACTAAGTTTTGAGTTGACAAAGGCTCTGGGTTAATCCTCCAGTGCAAACACCCAACTAGAGCAATGGTACAAGTGACTCCTCACATGGGGTGCCTAGCACTCCCATCAGCTTTCAGATATATCACCAAAATAAAACCGGCCTTCCACCAATGAGCATCCATGCCTCTATCAGCATCCTTGGTTAAACTACAAGAAAATGCTTTGAATCTGGGGGTGTGGCTCAACTGGTAGAGCCCTTGCCTAGCAAGCTGTTAGGCCTGGATTCAATCCCCAAAAGAGAAAAAAAAAAAAAAGTATTTTGATTCAACTGCAGTGTTTAAAAGTTAGCTAGTAAGAAGGTTAAAAAACGTCTGTCTTTCTGATTCCTCTCATTTCCTTTTCAAATGCCAAGATTCCTGAGCAATTAATTAAGACCACTGGGCCTTCACGATTTAAATGTTTGTGGAGTGAAAGAATAATTTGGCTTACATAAGAACCAGACAGCCTCAGGAGTGAAAAACTTCCAAACAAGAAGAGGTTCAGGTTAAGGCTGGAGGAGGTGAGCCAGTATCCACCTGAACTGGCCCTGGCAGGACTACAGTTGCCTCAGGCTGTATCTCTGTTCAGTAAAACAACACATTTGTTTTTGAACTATCTTTGGAGAGAGGAGGTTTCCTCACATGCATTCCTTTACTGCCAAGCAGTTTTTTGGACAAATCCCAGCTCTGTCTACTGAGGTACCAAGAATGAGAGTCAGAGATGGATGGATCCTTTGCGGCCTGCAGTGTCAGATCCAGGGAAGGAGTTACAACTTTGCAGAAATCCAGGGATCAGGCAGTGGTCGGAGACCACTTCCCATTCTGCTCTTTAAGTCAGACTAAAACCCAGTGAGCACTTCTCTTTGCTGTATTATGAACACAGTGCTAACTGCCATCAGTTGCCATTACAGAATACCTGATGTCAGGCATTGCTTCTACACATTTTCTACACAAGGGACTTGACTTAATCCTCACAACCCTAAGAAATAGGGATCATTACCCACATTTCACAACTGAAGCAACAGCCCTCAGAGAAAAGGGACTCTCCTCAATCACACAGGGCTTTCAAACTAAAGTCCTCTGAAGAACTGCAAGGTCTTTCCTCTAAGTACTTCATCTTCCAAAGGCTTTTTAAAAATATTGCGTTTGCCAGGCAGTGTCTCATACCTGTAATCCTAGCTATTTGAGAGGCTGTGACTGGGAGGATCTAAGTATGAGGCCAGCTGGGGCAAACAGTTTGTGAGACCCCCATCTCCAAAATAACCAGAAGCAAAATGGGCTGGAAGTGTGGCTCAAGTGGTAGAGCACCTGCTTTTTAAAGTGAAGCCCAAGTTCAAACCCCAGTCCTACCAACAAATAAATACTGAGTTTGGGGGGTGTAGCTCAGTGGTAGAGCACTTGCCTAGCATGTAGTAGGCCTTGTGTTCAATTCCCAGCACCACAAAAAAAGGGAAAAAAAAAAAAAAAAGCCGGTGGAAGAGTAAAACATGGGGTTTTTCTGCACAAGAAATGCAAAACCTCTTATTCTTTAGAAAGCATCTTCTGAATGAAGAGGTCTGTACAAATGAAGAATTTTAAAGATTCTCCCCACATTTAAGGTATATGCTCATTTACCTATTCTCTCTACTGTATATTGTTATATGGTTACTTAATAGTTTCACCTGACCTTATTGGTACAGCTGTAAGGAAAGGTAATTAGATATGATACTCGCTGCTGGTATTTCTGAAAGCCTTCCACGTTTCTCTCATATAATTAATTAATCCTTAATAAAGTCTTTCAGTGTTACTTGGCGTTCCCTTTGCAGTCAGCAACGTTAATCTGTAATCCCATGCCGGTCTCCATGTGCTCTCATAAACCTCTCTTCCCTGCTCCACTGCCCTTTCATGAACTTTTCCTATTTCCTGTCCTTTTAAAAAGTGCAGAACAAAAAACTAACTAAATAAAACTCAGCACTGATTTACGAAACGTGAGTTTTAAAAGGAATCTTAGAAATCCTATTCTCATTTCGCAAGAATCAACGGAGCCACGCACGGTCACGGCTCAGGCAAGGGCAGTCCATGCCTTTCAGCTTTCTCACTGCACGGGGAGGACGAATGTGGTTTTGCTATCTACTCTTGCGCAGGAACAAAACTGAGGATTCCTGCGACTGCTTTCTATGAAATGACACCCCGCAAGACCTTAAAACCCAGAGCTACAGAACTTTCCAAGCAAATTCCCTCGACTGGCTCTTGCCACTGTGAGCCAACCTGGAGCAACGCAGTAGCGAGCGCTTTCCCAGCGCACTGAGCTCGCGGTGCCCGGAGGAGGAGGGACGCACGCGGGCAGGGGACCCGACTGCGACAGCCAGGTGCAAACGCTCGGCTGCAGAACGCGCTTCACGCTGGCATCCCAAAGGCTCTGGAAAGAGAATCGCCCACACCACCCGCAACGGCTCCCGCAGAACCCGCGCGACCCACGCCGCAGAAGCCTCGAGAGACAGGGCCGGGCTCCCGGAACCTCGTGCCCCGCGGAGCCCCGCCCTGAGCACGCCAAGCCGTGTCCGCTCGGGGGACGGGCGGCGGCCCCAACCATACCTCCAACTCCCGGGGCGTGGACCGGGAACTTACCCGCGACGGCCGCCTTCCACCTGCCCCGAGTCAGACTCAGCCGCGGCCTAAACCCGCGGCGGTGCGGGAGCCTGAGAAAAGGCAGCCGGCGCCCCGCAGCCCGCGCGCAGCCCCGCCTCCTCCCCGCCTTCGAGGCCACGCCCCACCCTCGCTACGATTGGTTGCTGTCTTTCCAGTCCCGCCCCCCCTAACACGCCTCTTATAGCCCGCGGCGAGGGTGGGCCCAGGCTGGAGCCCAGCTGGAGATCTCCGGCTCCCGCCCGCTGGGCAGTGAGCTGCGGGGGTCTCGATGACCTCTACAGTGACAATGACATCGACTCCTCAGTGTAAGAGAAACGTGGGGCAGCCATGGAAAAGAAGCCTTTTCAGAGGGTGGGTCTCTGTCCACGTGAACCTCCATGGTGGGAGGGAGGGCTGCACTTTTTAATACCAGTTTTTTTTAGGTTGAAAATGTACAAATTGACAAGAAATTTGAAAGAACCGTATTGTGAACCGTTACCCAGAGTCACCAAACGCTAACGTTTTGTAATATTTGCTTTCTCCATCACTATATTGTCCTCCTCCCGCCCCCAACCATTGGAAAATTGCTATTTATTATCACATACAAGAAATTGAATAAATTTCAATCATATCCAATATGCCGCCCGTATTTATATTTCCTTTGCTGTCCCAGAAGGTCATTTGCATACACACGTGTATTCAATTCAGGATCTTCTAGGACCATCCCGATGCATTTGATTTCACGCCTTAACTCCAGAACAGTACCCTCGCTTTTTAAAATCCTTCATAATTTCGTTATACTTGAGTCCAGGCCAGTTGTCTCGTAGACTATATCACACTCTGGATTGATGGACTTGTTTCCTCTTGATTAGATTCAGATTAAACGTTTTAGTGGGAAAAGTAGGAGTAATGGTGTGTACTTCCGTTGTTTCACTTCTCCACTTTCTGGGTCACTTAGTGTCAGTTTGTTATCGTTATCCACCATGCCAAGTTCAACCACGTGGTCAGGAGTGCGCCTGGCTCTTCTCTCAACAAAGCTACCCTCTGTGACCGAGATTAATACCTGCACGGATGGACTGAATCCCGGTGAATATTATGTCCCCAACAACCCTTTACCCAACGGATATAGAATACATTAAGGAATGCTTATTACAGCACTTACAATTTGGGGACTTTGCAATTCTATCCGTTTTTCTGATTTTTTAGCTAGCATTCCTGGCTTTAAAAAAAAAAAAAAAAAAGGGGGAGGAGAGGGGAAGGAAGGAGGGGGGAGAGAAATGACCCAAATGTATGCACATATGAATAAAATAAATAAATAAATAAAACAAAAAGAGTATGTCCTTTTTTCCCTGTTCTCTTTTTTCCTTTTCTCTTCATCTTCCTCCCCTGCACAATTCCTTCTCCTCTTCTTTGTTTTTGAGTAATAATGTAGACTCCTGGATTCATTTTAAATCCACACACTACTGGGAGCATGGCTCAAGTGGTAAAGTACCTGCCTAGCAAGCACAAGGCCCTAAATTCAATCCCCAGTCCCACCGAAAAAAAAGAGATTTTTTGGAATATTTGTTCCATCAATCTTTGAGCTTTCTGGCACAAGACCTTCCAGTTCTACCATGTTTTCCTTGCAACAGCACTTTTATAATTTTATTATAATCCCTAAATCTTTTCCATTGCACTTTTCCTTTCATATTGCACTATATAATAATAAACAGTGTACATCTACCCAGGGTAGATCAGCACCACAGGGTTCATACTAGCCTTCCCCTTTCCACATGCGTATCCTCTGTCTTCTGTAGTGAAAATCCTGGTTCCCACCAGCATCAATAAAATTACTCATTTTTTTCTATCCTACAATTAGCACAAAGCAGTCATGACCTACACACAATAGCACCAGCAAAGAACACTCTACGTTCAGGATTTGTGTCCTTATGATATATCCCTCTAACTGGTGTGCAGTTATTGTACTATGTTCCAAAGTTGCTTGAATTAATGGTCAGAGTATCAATTTAGTACAGTGTTACAGTTGTTTCTTTTCTTTGATTCAATTTTAGACTCATTTTTTCATCTTTATCTTTTGACTATATAAAGCACTCACACAGTTCAAAGTCAAATCATATAAAAGTTACTTTTGGAGAAATTTCACTTCCATTCCTATTTCTTGAACTGTTTCCCCTATGAAAAACCACCGGTAACCACTTTTTTTTTTTTTTTTAGTTTTTGAGACGGGGTCTCACTATGGAACTCAGGGTCTTTCTGCCTCCAGCTCCTGAGTGCTGGAATTGCAAGCATATGCTACTACTCCCTGATGTCAGTGACCACCTTTTATAAGTAACTGACCATTGTTAGCTTATAGATTATCCTTCCTTCCCCCGATTAATATTGTGTGTGTGTTATCTATGCTGTATTATGGATTACTACACAATTAGCAGTTCAGTTTCTGTGGGTCAGCCATCTAGGAGCCACTTTGGTAGGTACCTTGGCTCCAAATTTCTCACAGGACTGCAGTAAGGTATCACTTGGAGCTGTCATCTCAGGGCCTCACCCAGGGATGATCCACTTCCAAGTTGACATAGCTGGCTGTTGGCAGACCTCAGATCCTCTTTCAAGCTCCCTTGTGACTGTTGGCAGGCTTCACGTCCTGGCTGGCCATTGGCTGATGTAAGTTTCATGGGGCTGCCATAACAAGTTACCACACACTGAATGGCTTTTTAAAGATGGATTTATTCTCCCAGCTTTGAAGGCTAGATGTCAGAAATCATATGTAAGTAGTGCTGTGTTCTCTGTGGAGGGCAAGGAGCAAATTCTTCCTGGAGTCTCTCCTAGCTTTTCCAAGTTACCAATCCTTGACACTCTGTGGCCTGCAGCTGTGTCACTCTGATCTCTGCTTCTGCCTTCAGATGGTATTCTCTCTCTCTCTCCCTCTATGAGTGTGGGGCGGGGTAGGGGGGTGGAGAAGGGATTGTATCCAAATTTCCTTCTTATAAGAAGTAGGAGCCTGAAGCCTGTGGCTTACACCTGTAATCCTAGCTACTCTGGAGACAGAGATCAGGAGGATGGCAGTTCAAAGCCAGTCTGGGCAGATAGTTTGTGAGACCATATCTCGAAAACACACATCACAAAAAAGGACCAGTAGAGTGGCTCAAGTGGTAAGAGCATGCTGCCTATCAAGTGTGAGACCCTGAGTTTAAACCTAGTGCCAAAAAAAAAAAAAAAAAAAAAAGAGGATTAGAGCCCACGACAATCCAATGTTATGCTTTGGATCTGGAATGTACCCCAAAATCCCATCTACTAAAGGCTTGGTTCAAAGCCTGACACTATTAGAAGGTGGTAGAAACATTAAGAGTGGGGCCTAGTGGGATGTCTTCCAGTGATTGGGGGTGTGCCCTTGAGAGTGGGACCCCAGCTCCTTCCTCTTCTCTCTGCTTCTCGACTGTAAGGTAAGTAGTAGCAGTATTGCAACATGCTACCTGTGTGCTTGCCATGGGCCCAAAAGCAACAGGAACAATCATGGACTAAAACCTCTAAAACTATGAGCCAAAATAAACCTTTTTTCTTTAGATGTTGATCATCTCAGGTATTTGTTATAGTCACAGAATGACTTCATTTAACTTTATCACCTCAGCCAAAAGCCTATTTCCAAATAAAGTGGCACTACAGGTACCCGGCAGGTTAGGATTTTTGGTTAGGACCAAACATATCTTTGGGTATACAGGACACAGTTAAATCCACAACACTTGAAGATATCAGTTTCTTGTATCATAAACCTCTGCATGAAATTGCTTACAGCATAGCACCTTGCTGAGAGTGTGCATGGAGGGGGGTGGGAGGATGAAGTTTTCAAGACAGAAGTCTCAGTCTCTTTGTGACCTAAGATAATAGTGGCATCCCATTACTTCTGCTGCATTCTGTCTGCTAGAAGCAAGTCAACAAGACCAGCCCACATGCAAGGGTAAAGGATTGCATACAAACATGAAAACAAGGAGACGGGAATCTTTGAGTACCACCTTAGAGGCTGACATATCTACCCCACAGAATGTTATATGAGGTAATACATGAATGTTAGCTTTCCATCATTATAACAAACACCTGGGATGATCAACTTGTAGAGAGAAAAGGCTTATTTTGACTTACAATTTTGGAGTGATTAGGCAGGTACATTGCTTTTAGACATCTAGTCGTAAGAGCAGCATATCCTGGCAGGAGCATATGGTAGAAAAAATCTACTCTCCTTATGACAGGGAAGCAAAGAGAGAAACAGGAAGAGACCAGGGTTCTACAATTCCCTTCGAGGACATACTCTTCCCATTGATCTGAAAACCTCCTATTAGGCCCCACCTCTTAAAGTTCCCACCACTTCCCAATAACAGCAAGCTGGGGACCAAGCCTTTAACATAGGGACCTTTGAGGACATTCTAGATCCAAATTATAGCAGTGTGCAAAACAAACTTTGCGAAATGGAATTGCTGTAGAAATATCTTCCAAATCTGTCCCCATCACTTGCCAGCTTAAAACTCTTCACTGACTCCACAATGTGCTCCATATTAAGGGTAAGCCCTTAGGCTGTGTAATAAGGTCCTTGCCCCTACAGCTCTTTGATCTTTCCAGGCCCAGGAACCAGTTCTCCTTCCTCCTACTCCATTCACCCACCTCTTAACCCTGCATTCTGAAGTCTGGCCATTTTCTCAGGTGGTTGAACTTTAGCCTTATTTGCATTTAGGCCTTGTATTAGCACACTGCATTCCAGTCTTTGGTACAGTAAAGTCGACAGGGCCAAAAGCCAGTATGACACTCCTGAGGTAAACAGTGGCCATCCCCATGGTGAGTTGAACATCAGGAACCATTCCTCACCCTCATCGGGCTTTTCAGCATCTTAGCAGTTGTGTTTGCACTCTAGAGTACTGATGAGTGGCAAATTCTTTGCAATCAGCTAGAGTTTTTTGTTTTCAGTACTGGGGCTTGAACTTAAACCTTGGGCCATTCCACCAGCCCTGTTTTTGTGAATGGTTTTTTTTGAGATAGGGTCTCTCGAACTTATTTGCCTGGGTGGGCTTTGAACCGTGATCCTCCTGATCTCTGCATCCTGAGTAGCTAGGATT